ATATTTTCCTAAGCCTAAGAAATGGTTGAGCCTTTTTTGTAAATGAAAAAACCTGTGGCAGACAGCAAGTGAAGTCCCAGCGCCTTCGCTTATGAGAATTAAAATGTTACAAGCACTGAAATGTGAGGCTCTCATAATAAGAAGTACTGAGCATTTTTAGTTATAGGCAAGGCTGGTAACCCCAACAGATAATAATTAAGGTACTTTGGTGAAAGCTTGAGGAGATGTGAGAGAACAGATGCACCCTTGATCTTTACACACTAAAAACGTTAGGATAGAGGAGTTCCATTTATCTCACTGAGAAGTCAAAACCAGGAATAAAAGCTGTGCAGATACAGTTCACAAAAACGCTGCTAAAAACACATGTGAGCAGAAAGAACCTGAATGAATATGAAGTATGAAAATGGAGTTGACTACGTACAGCGTTATTTAGATCTATTACTGACTTCACACTTCTCTGCAAATTTGGGGTAGCTCAAATTAAAATAGTCCTTCTTACCTCATCTTGCGGCCTTTCTCAGTGCAAAACTCCCACTGAATAAAAGGGGTTTGGTAATTTTTCGTGAAGAAAATCTGCAGGACTGCATCTTCTCTTTTTAGCCTCTGGAAGAGGAGTTCTAATTTCTAAAAACTGCTATACACGAACATAAAAAGATGCATTTCAGCGTAGTTTGCAAGCAAGCTCTTCGCACAGTTCTATTCTAAGGACTGCTTTCAAGTTTAGATGCACATAAGAAATCTTAAATCAGGCAGTTACTCATTCTTCAAAATTATTAGCACCTGAAAACACAGCCCAGGTTTGGAAGTTTGTCCTCCAAACAAAACTTTAATGAGCTCATTGTGATAAGCAGATTGTAAACTCTCACCAATTATCACATTTTTAATGTGGCCATGAACCAGGTCAGTCAACATATATGATGTTTTCCACCAGCAGCGCAGCAAAGCTGGGAACAATTTGCCACCAGATGATCCCCCTTCTCCTTTGCCCACAGGGAAGGGAATATTCTAAGCGTGACCATCATTAAGAGGTCCTGAGGATAATCTCTGGTGCCTGTGGGTTTTGGGATCCTAAGAATTCCTGAGAGAAAGGTGGGCTTTACTCTGCCACAGTGCTGCGTGACTTCTGCCACCAAGGAGGACACAAGGGACACAGTCCTACCTACATGGGGATAGGCCAGGATTTTTATTCATTTCTTTTAACAGAAGTCATTCCAGTAATGAGATTTTTTTTTCTGTGTTTGTTTAGGAAATTTTAGGATGATATGGGGTGGTTTTGGCCAGAAAACTGCTGTGTCTCATCATCAGAATTTACCGATTTTGACAGTATCAGGGAAAACTTTCTAGGCCCAGAACTGAGTATATTGCCAATCCATTGACAGAGAAAGGAACGTGCCCATCTGAACTCACAGATGACTGCAAGCAGGGGGACTTCTGCCTGCAGCTCCCCAGTAGTTTCAGACGATCCGAGGCACCGCAGCCTTGGTCCTGCCATCCATCTACATGGGGCACCTCTGCTGTACCGGCCCTCGCATTTAGCTGGCCCCGTAGTGAGACAACTCAGGGAGCCAACTGTGCGCCAGACTGGTCCGATTCAAAAAAGAAAGGATCTTTTTCCACCAGTTAAGCAGCCAGAACCAGGTCACCGAGGGTGAGATGAGCACAAGTGCTGGCATTAAACTAGAGGCGGAACCTGCTGCAGGGAACATAATGAAAGCTGGAATTGAGCAGGTAGGTCAGCTTAAAATGAACACACAAAATGTCCTAATGACCGTGGAAGAAGGGAAAAGAGGCACCTTACGCTGGTGCTGTTCCATTCAGTGAAAATAGTTCGATATTTACTGACCTAAAGTGATACCTGGTGAGTAGTGCATGCACCTAGCAGAGAGGCAGAGGTGCTTGGGCACCTGTTCCAGTGAAGAGAGAGTGGAAAAGCTCCAACCCTGGAATAGGCAACCGCATGTGAGATGTGAGGGAATGACACAGCAATGACTTCAAGCGCATTCTCCCACACCCAAGACGAACATCCCAGCCACAGGCAGTTGTGAGAATCACTCGTTTGCCTTCCTTCAGCTTTCCAAACAAACTTGGAACACTCTCTGTTCTGTCCCCCAACAGAAAAGTCAGTTTTAGAAAAACCTCTTTTTTTCTTTTTTTCAGCACAAAAATATGTGCTCCTCATTTAGTTACCGTTTTGTTTTACTCCAGTCCCAGGGTGCTGGAAGCACTTGGGAGAAGAAGTATTTCTCAGATACTCCTTTTGCTTACAAAACTTCTTCTCTGTATATCAACACACAGTATGGCAGCACGGTCTGAGCCTAGAGCGAAAGGAAGAGCAGCATTTTAGAAAGAGCAAAAAGTTTTAAAGGAAGCGAAAGTGGTTTCTTAGTCACTGCTGAACAGCCAAACAGATTTCTGAGATAAAAAATACCAGCTGTGGCCTCCCATGGCCACAGGGGGCATTTCATTCTCAGCTTGCCTCCTCACCTCTCAGAGCTTCCAACATTTTTTTATCATTATTACTTTTATTGATATATTTCAGGTTTTCATCTCAGACCAAAGGTGAAATTACTTTGGGAAATTTGGAGAGAGAGGAAAGACAGGTGGGATCAATTTTCCGGCAGTTATGGGGTCCTAAAAAGATGCTTTCTATTTCTGAATGTATTTCATACCCATACCTCGGGCAGGGTTTATTTTTTATTTTTAAATCTTTATTTGCCACAGATTTAACCCTTGAGAGTGAAGTTGTACAAGGAGTTAGAACGCATTAACCTCTTAATGCGTGTTTCTAAAAGATACGTTTAGCAGGTAGACCCAAAAGTTCTGTTGGTCATTGACCAGCGCTCAGGCAAACCCTCCTCTCGCTCCAAATCATCTCAACAGCTTTATCTCTTGTAGGAGCTTTTGGTCACCTGTCTTCATGAATTCCCCAGTGTTTAGTGGCCTCAACACACAACTTTTGTACCGTATTGATTATGTACACAGTGACAAACTCTCCCTGCAGCTCTCATGCCATCTTCCTCCTCCGCCTCCACCAGGGACAAAACAGGCTCCAGCTCTCACTCCTCACCCTGGCAAGACCCTGGCATTTCCTATCAGCCTTCAGATCTTTCCAGCCTCCCAGTCCAGGACTGGGACTGACAATCATGTCCAAATCGTCAAATTCCTCCATTAACATTCCCAGCTGCTTTTCTCTCCCATTCTGCCTCCTAATGATAAAAGGTCCGAGCTCCTCCAGTGTGCCAGATCTAGATCTAGTTCATAGGAGCTGAGGGAGCTTTTCGGAATATATTAGTCATGTGCTAACTGGAATTGATCCCAGTATATCATTTAGCAGGTACAATATAAAAGATAAAAAGGAACTCATTTTACACCTACAAGTCAACGTATGAATTTTATGTTATTGCATAGATTAGAGTTCCAAGTACTGAAAAATAAAAAACACAGATTTATGCAATGGGGAGAGAGCTAATAGGAGAAATAGCTGAACATTTCATCTGTTTAACTCCTTGGCTGCAATGTGGTACAGATGACGTTTTTTTCTGGGGGTTACTAACGCGTAGCGAAGAGCTGTTCCCAACCTGTCCGCAAGCGCTTGCACCGATCGGAGGGTGTAGCCGCGCTCCGGAGCTCCAGAGGATTTATCCCTGAGGCGGAAAAGCAATTACCTGAGAGAAGACAGATGTAGACCATTGAGTACTGAGATACTTTGCTGCCTAAACGAGAAAGCGTATCCTTATGGAGCCAGCGACGCTAAGGACAGGGAGAAGGGGGAAGCGCCTGAGCGGGTCCCAAGCCCTGCGGAGGAGGAGAGCAGGATAAGGCCAGCGCCGCGGGGGGCCCGGGCCGCCGTGCCTGGCAGGAGGGAAGAGGCTGAGCCTCCCCGCTACCTTCCTCCACCTCAGCGTTTCATTCCCGGAGGGAGAAACGCACCATATTGCACCAGCTCGGGAGGCAGCTCCACAGAAGCCCCCTCCTCTGCCACCCCTTCAAAGCCGGCGCGCGGGCAGCGCGGGGCCGTGGGGGGGGCTGAGGGAGGACAGGTCATCCCGGGGGTAGGAGCCCCACAGCAGCGTGGGCAGCCGCCGAGGTGCTGGGACGGGGCGTGATGAGGGGGACGATGGGGACCCGGGCTCTGCATGCCAAAGCCGGGCGCCCTCCATGGGGCTGCCAGAGGAGGGTGCAGGGCTGTGGGGTGCCCGGGAGATCCCCCCAGGGAG